TGGGAGTCCTCTTGGATTCATCGCATACACTTGAGGCTCAGGCGTTGGCGGTGTCCGGGAGGGCTTTCGCACAATTGAGACTTGTGCGCCAACTGCGACCATACCCCGCGAAGGCTGATCTGGCCGGGGTGGTCCATGCCTTGGTCACCTCTAGATTGGACTACTGTAATGCGCTCTACATGGGGCTGCCCTTGAAAACGGCTCGGAAATTTCAACTGGTCCAACGGGCAGCGGCCAGGATGTTAACTGGTGCTCCTTACAGAGAGAGGTCAACCCTCCTGTTCAAGGAGCTCCACTGGCTGCCATTTATTTTCAAAGCCCAATTTAAGGTGCAGGTGCTTACCTACAAAGCCCTAAACGGTTTGGGACCATCCTACCTGCGTGACCGCATCTCCGTTTATGAACCCACGTGTGCACTTCGTTCATCCGGAGAGGCCCTGCTCGTGATTCCGCCCACGTTGCAAGCGCGTTTGGTGGGGACACGAGACAGGGCCTTTTATTGTTTATTTATTTTTTTATTTATTTCATTTATTTATACCCCGCCCTTCTCACCCCGGGGGTGACTCAGGGCGGCTTACAGAGGAGGCACAATTAGATGCCTAAAACAATTAACAGCAATACAAAGTACAAAAAAGCAATACAACAGTTAAAATTAAAACATCAGTGCATAATAAAATATTAAAACAATCTCATGCTCGGGTTCAGAGTCCATATATCCATTCCATTCCATTTGTCCTCGTCTATCGTCAGATCCTTAATTTAGTTGCCAGTGTGTCCAAAGGCTTGATCCCAAACCCAGGTCTTCAGTTTTTTCCTGAATGCCAGAAGGGAGGTCGCCGATCTAATCTCCCCAGGGAGTGAGTTCCACAGGTGGGGGGCCACCACTGAGAAGGCCCTGCTCCTCGTCCCCGCCAATCTCACTTGTGATAGTGGCGGGGTCGAGAGCAGGGCCTCCCCAGAAGATCTTAGACTCCAGGGTGGGACGTAGAAGGAGATCCGTTCGGACAGATACACTGGGCCGGAACCGTATAGGGTTTTGTAGGTCAAAACCAGCACTTTGAATTGTGCTCGGAATTGGATCGGCAGCCAGTGGAGCTGGCGCAACAGGGGGGTGGTATGCTCCCTGTACGCCGCTCCGGTGAGCAATCTGGCTGCTACTCGCTGGACTAGTTGAAGTTTCCGAGCAGTCTTCAAAGGCAACCCCACGTAGAGTGCTTTGCAGTAATCCAACCGGGATGTGACAAGAGCGTGGACCACCGTGGCCAGATCAGACTTCCCAAGGTACGGGCGCAGCTGGCGCACAAGTTTTAATTGTGCAAAAGCTCTCCCGGCCACCGCTGAGACCTGGGGTTCCAGGCTCAGCGATGAGTCCAGGATCACTCCCAAGCTGCGAACCTGCATCTTCAGGGGGAGTGTAACCCCGTCTAACACAGGCTGTAACCCTATACCCTGTTCGGCCTTGCGACTGACCAGTAGGACCTCTGTCTTGTCTGGATTCAATTTCAATTTGTTAGCTCTCATCCAGTCCGATACAGCGGCTAAACACCGGTTCAAGGTCTGGACAGCCTCCTTGGTGACAGGTGGAAAGGAGTGACAGATTTGGACATCATCTGCATAGAGATAACATCTTAGTCCGAAACTCCGAATGATCTCTCCCAGCGGCTTCATGTAGATGTTAAATAACATCGGGGACAGAATTGAACCCTGTGGGACTCCACACAACAACGGTTGTGGAGCCGAACAGGTGTCACCCAATGACACCTTCTGGGTCCGTCCCTCAAGGAAGGATCGAAGCCACCGCAGAGCAGTGCCTCCGAGCCCCATGTCCATGAGGCGCCCCAGAAGGATACCGTGATCGACGGTATCGAAGGCCGCTGAGAGGTCCAGCAGAACTAACAGGGACACACTCCCCCTGTCTAGTTCCCTGCGTAGATCATCTACCAAGGCGACCAAGGCTGTCTCAGTTCTATGTCCCGGTCTGAAGCCAGACTGTGCCGGATCTAGATAATCAGTGTCTACCAGAAACCCCTGGAGTTGTGTTGCCACCACACGTTCCATGACTTTGCCCAAATAGGGGAGATTGGAAACTGGTCGATAGTTGTCGAATTGAGTGGGATCCAGTGATGGTTTCTTCAACAGCGGTTTTATAATAGCTTGTTTTAAGCTCGCTGGAAATTTTCCTTCCTGTAAGGAGGTATTAACCATCACCTTCACCCACCCTGCCAAACCCCCTCTGGCTTCCTTGATCAGCCAGGAAGGGCAGGGGTCTAGGATGCATGTGGTGGGTCGCACCTCTCCAAGGATCCTGTCCACATCCTCAAGCTGAACCAATTGAAACGAATCCAACAAAACTGGACAAGCAGATGCTCTCGTTACATCCCCAGAGACTGCCGTTAACATGACGTCAAAACCTGACCGAATCCGCTCAATTTTATCCGCGAAGGATCGAGCAAATGCTTCACAGCGAGCCACCGAGTTATCCGAGGCCTCGCTTTTTGGCGGATTTAACAGGCCTCTGACAACTCGGAAAAGCTCCGCTGGACGATTCTTCGCTGATGCAATATTGGCTGTGATGAATGTTTTCTGGGCCGCCGTTATTGCCACACCGTAGGACCTTAAAAAGGCCTTCAGGTGTGTTTGGGCTGGATTGGTGGGGTTCAGGCGCCACACGCGCTCTAACCTCCTCTTCTTTCGCTTCATCGCTGCCAGCTCCTCAGTGAACCAAGAGGCTGGTTTAGCTCGGTTACTCGAGAGGGGGCGTTCCGGAGCGATTGTGTCGATTGCCCTGGTCAACTCACTATTCCAGCTAGAGACCAGATGTGGTGGCCCCCCAACTCTGGAACACCCTTCCCAAAGATCTTAGACAGGCCCCTACATTGGCAATCTTTAGAAAGAACTTGAAGACCTGGCTGTTCCAATGTGCCTTTCCAGAATAGGAAATCTCCAATACCAAGTCCCAGAAGCACTTTATTAGAATTAAGATTGCCGCACACTGCACTTACCCTATAATCCTTATATACTACCTGTCACATCAGAACTTTTTACTCTGGCCCGGCCCAGTTTTATTGTGTCTTAGTGTATTGTTTATCGCTTGTTGTTTATATTGCTTCAATTGTTTTTAATTTGCTTTAGGTTTTGTATTGTTATGTTGTGTATTGAGGCCTTGGCCTTTGTAAGCCGCATCGAGTCCTTCGGGAGATGCTAGCATGGTACAAATAAAGTTAATAATAATAATAATAATAATAATAATAATTATAATTATTATTATTATTATTATTTAGAGTTTTTGTATACCGGTCTTCTCCACCTCCTAAGAGGGACTCAGACCGGTTTACAGCATGAAATTCAGATACAATGATGAAATACAAAACATCCTCATAATACAATAAAACAAGTGCATTAAAATACAATCAATTGTATTAGATTTCTAACAGAACAAAACAAACAGACAAAACACAAAATTTGCAAGTTTGGTAGTTGATTAAATGTCCTTTAACCAGTATCTGGCCACTTGGAGTGCCTCTGGTGTTGCCGCAAGGAAGTCCTCCATTGTGCACGTGGCGGGGCTCAGGTTGCATTGCAGCAGGTGGTCCGTAGTTTGCTCTTCTCCACACTCGCAGGTCGTGGATTCCACTTTGTGGCCCCATTTCTTAAGGTTGGCTCTGCATCTCGTGGTGCCAGAGCGCAGTCTATTCAGCGCCTTCCAAGTCGCCCAGTCTTCTGTGTGCCCAGCGGGGAGTCTCTCATTTGGTATCAGCCATTGATTGAGGTTCTGGGTTTGAGCCTGCCACTTTTGGACTCTTGCTTGCTGAGGTGCAGTAGATCAATAGGTACTGCTCTGGTGGGAAGGTAATGGTGCTCTATGCACTCATGCCAGCCAAGTGACCTTGGGGGTGTCTATGGACAATGCTTAGAAATGGAGATGAGCACCAACCTTCAGAGTCAAACACGACTGGACTTAATGTCAGGGGAAAATGTTTACCCTTTACTAGCATAGGTATTACAGTATTTTTTCACATAATCACCATTAGGTTCAATACATTTTATTATCTATAGGATGAGTTTTTGATGCCTGTGTCATAGAAGTTTCCCTCTTCCTTTTTCAGCCAGTCACTTTGATTTTCACCTTGTCATCATTGGAAAAGTGTTTTCCGTGTGTTCCTTCAATTTAGTGAACAGATGAGAGTCACTCGGTGTGAGATCAGAGCTGTGAGGGGGTAGCTTAAAACATCCCAACCAAACCTGTGCAATTGATCTTTGGAATGGCCCCAGATTATGATTGAAGATGGTATGATTTTAATAGTGAATTCAGTATTTTATATGTTTTAATGTGCATGTGAGTATTCTGTTTGTTGTCCAAATTCATTGAATAGTTCCCATATGTAAAGCCACCTTGAGTCCCCTTTGGAGTAGAGAAAGGCAGGATACAAATAGAGTAAATGAATAAATAAAATATATAATCTGTAATAATTAAAGAAAATATAATGTGGGGATATTTATTTCCATCAACTAGATGCTTGGAATCAATTTATTGGGTTTTAGTTAATATTTTGGCTGCAGAAGAGACATGATGAGGGCCATGTATAAATGTGAGAGGAAGTCATAGGGAGGAGGGAGCAAGCTTGTTTTCTGCTGCCCTGGAAACTAGGACGCAATGGAACAATGGCTTCAAACTACAAGAGAGGAGATTCCATCTGAACATGAGGAAGAACTTCCTGACTGTGAGAGCCATTCAGCAATGGAACTCTCTGCCCCGGAGTGTGGTGGAGGTTCTTTCTGTGGAAGTTTTTAAAGAGAGGCTGGATGGCCATCTGTCGAGGGTGCTTTGAAAGCAATTTTCCTGCTTCTTGGCAGAAAGGAGGTTGGACTGGATGGCCCATGAGTTTTCTTCCAATTTATTGATTCTATAATTCTATTGTTTCTTCTTCTTCTTCTTCTTCTTCTTCTTCTTCTTCTTCTTCTTCTTCTTCTTCTTCCTTCTCTCTCTCGCATTGCCCAGTGGACATCCAGATGTTTTGATGTTTTACCATCCTTGTGGGAGGTTTCTCTCATGTCCCTGCATGAGGAGCTGGAGCTGACAGAGGGAGCCGAGGTTTGTGCAATGTACAATGACAATAAATTTATTCTATTCTGTTGTTCAAGAAATTTAATTCATGCCATTCATTTTATTTGGTCACAGCATAATATTTCCTTCAATTAACTCCCCCTCCCCCCCCCCCCCCCGCCCCAAATTAATGTCCTTGCACCTAAAAGACATGTGGATGGAGCTGAGCGAATGGTTGCACATTATTACCCGAGTTCTGAATCAAAGGAAAGAGAGAAATATAAATTAAATGCAAGTTGATTTAATTAAGAGGGAAACATATAGTTTAATATCAGGGAAAAACATTTTTAGGCAAAAGCTTGAACTGAAAACTGGAGCAGGATTACATATTTCTTGAATGCAAAGAGATAACTTCTGGTTGTCCATGTTATCTGTATAGAAAGAGACAGAAAATCCATGATGAGGACATAATTTTTTTAAAGTATCTTGGCTCAATTATCAATTAGGTGGAGACTATAGTCAAGAAAACCGCTAAGGTAAGGAGTACATCTACACTGTAGAATTAATGCAATTTGATACCACTAACTGTCATGGCCCAATGCAATAATAATAATAATAATAATAATAATAATAATAATGCTTTATATCTATCGAATTCAGAGTTATTCTTTTACAATGTCTTTATACTTCTCTACCAAAGAGTGCTGGTTCATCACCAAACTACAACTCCCAGTATTCCATAGCAATGAGCCATGGAAGTTAATGTCAAACTGTATAAATTCTACATTGTAATTGCACCCTAGGAAAAAAAACTATGAGGTAAATAATTAAGATCTTTACGTGTAAAATTATATCATGGGTTACCCAATGAAGGATACTTCAAGTTCAGACCATGGTATTTCAACCACTGAAATAGTATTCACTAGGATTAGTTATCGACCTCATCAGACAGCCAACGGCAGGATACTCCACTTCAGATTAGCTGTTAGTCTCAAACTTAATCATACTCCACTGCTTTATATCAAAGAAGAGGGGCAAATCTACACTGACAACTACATATCAGAGCTGACCCAGCATGGAGTAAACTGGACTGGCTCCTGGACAGGTCAGAAAGGCAATCCCCTGGTCACTGCAGAGGCAATAGAGAGTCCTAACCACTCAGCAGTGCTAAACATGGTTTGCTGCCCCCAGATAGTGATAATTACTGTCTCCATCCATCCTCCATTTTGTCACAGTCTCTGGCCTTGACATGGTCCTCCTACCTGTACACTGACATGTGACAACAGAGTGATGAGGGAGGGCAGGGGAGAGAAGAGAAATCATATACTCCTCTTCCCCAATTTCCCCATCATCCCAGATGGCATCATGGCAGGTAACAGCAGACAGGTAGGATCCATGTCATGACCATAGATGGCCACGACACAGAGGACTGGAGGAGATGATAAGTGCCGTCTTATTTCCCCAGGCTACCTAACCCCATGGAACACAAGATTGCAGTGAGGACAGCTGTGGCTGGTTCTCTTCTGGAACCAGGCTAGGACATAGAGTATTGGATTCAAATAGTAGGAAAAGAAATTCCACCTAAACATTAGGAAGATCTTCCTGAGGGTAAAAGTTGTTCAGTAGTGGCATATGTCTCGGAATGTGACAGAGACTCTTTCTTTGGATTTTTTAAGCAGAAGCTTTTGTAAATTGCTATGCTCCACTAATAATATGTTGTTCAAATCCCCCCATGACTCACTCTAATATATCAGGAATGCTTTGACAGGATGTTCCTGCATTGTTTTTGTTGTTATTTTATTCATACTCCGCTCTTTTTCTTTACAAAGGAAATGCAAAGAAAGTGCTGGGCTGGATGGCTTTTGTGCTTTCTTCCAACTCTATGAGTCCATGTTCAGATGGGCACAAGGTTAGGAGATAGTTTGAATTCTGGGCTGGAATTTGGACTGTGGAACAAGCGCTTATTAAGGTGGACTTGTTGCTTTTGACCTATAAAGCCCTAAACAACTCTGGCCCAATTTACCTGTCCGAAAGGATTCTCCCCTATGAACCATCAAGGTTATTAAGATCTTCAGGAGGGGCCCTGATCTCGGTCCCACCACAATTGTGTCTGGTAGGGACGAGGGACAGGGCCTTCTCGGTGGTGGCTCCCCATCTCTGGAACTCCCTTCCACTAGAGATTAGATCTGCCCCTTCCCTCCTGTCATTTAGAAAGCTACTAAAAACCTGGCTTTGGAATACGAGTGAGTCAATAACCCTGTGCATACGGAAGGATGGTGATGAATCGTAACTGTATTTGACGACTTGGCTTGTGTAATGTGATGAGGTATTTTTATTGTACTTTAGGTTTTAATGTTTAATGATGATCTATTGTATTGTTTTTGTATTGCTGTTGTTTGAATATATGTTGTGAACCAGCCTGAGTCCCTCTCCGGAGGTGGAGAAGACTGGTATGTAAAACTTCTAAATAAAAATAAACAAAATTGTTGTGTGTTAGATCAGCTCCAACTGGTGTTTGGCCACCACAAATCGAAATAGTCAGTGTGGATGTGCTTGAAAAAATATAATGAAGGTTGGAAATAGGGGATGGGGTGTTCCCTCATCTCCCGAAGCTCCCAACTTGGGGGTATGAATTCGGCTACAGAGAAACTATTTTCTACTTGTATTTCTTGTGATAACCATCAGGAAGAGTCCAACTAGGTATTCACTGCTGTATGAGGGAGCCAACATGTTGCAATGGCCAGTGTTGGACCATTTGTTCATCCATGAAGCCATTGGACAAGCCATACTCTCTCAGCCTCAGAGGAAAGTAATGGCAAATCTCATCTGAAAAAATTTCCCCAAGAAAACCTATGTTGGATGTCCCCTGGAGTTGCCATATGTCAAAAACAAATCGAATGCACACAACAACAATAAAATGCAAAACATTCACCTTCTGACCTTATTTTCTGTTCCTCTGTAGACTATAACATGAATCAATGGACTGAAAATGCAAGATAAGCCACTGCAACTAGACAATAGGAAGAGCTGACTGATTATAAACACTCTTAACAGTGGAACAGAGGGATGAGCTCTCCTTTGGATGTAAATAAAGGAAGACTAGACAACCATCTTTTGTGAATGCTTTTATATTATGCCTCCATAATAGGGTTGGACTCAATAGCTCTTCCCTCCAGCCCTTCAAATGTATGAGTCTATACTGCCATATAATCCAGTTCATTGTAGTTAGTCTGCATTCTGAAACTGAATGAGATGGCAGTGTAGATCCAACTTAAGAGTCTATAGTTCCATCACTCACCTTTTGCAGCAATACTTCCAAAATGCACATTTACCGATGTGCTCAAGTCCTTTGCAGCCAGATACAATGGCCATCACACAAAAACCCCCATATCTCTTGCATTCATCTTCATTCTTGGCCCACTGAGCGAACGCTGTAGAAAATAATGTCATTCAATGAGTGAATAGACAAGATTTTGATCAAAGGGCATAGTGGGAATGAAATGTTCTTTCCGTGAGATGTGAGTGCGGCCTAGCAGTACTGTCAACCCTCCACATTTGTGGTTTTGGCTTTTGAGGATGTGAATATTCTCGTATTTTATTAAAATACTAGCCGTTCCCTGCCACATGTTGCTGTGGCCCAGTCTGGTGATCTAGAAAATAAAGTAATGAGAAAGTGTTGGTTTGTAATATATGTAATTTCTTTATGCTTGTGAATAAACAGTATATCTTGTTGTCTCTTTGTCAGTGTTGATGTAGAGATTGTCTGGTTTGCCTACTCTGGAACATGCAACATATAATTGTCCTTCTTTAGGCATCTCTTTCAAATCTATGATACTATATCTGTCATATGCATGTGTGTGTGGGTAGATCATATCTATCTATGTCTATGGCTGGATGGCTCTTTGTCAGGAGGGCTTTGATTATATTTTCTTGCCCTGGTGAAGGGTTTTGGACTAGCTGACCTTAAGACAGAATTTCTCAACCTGGAGGTCGTGAAGGAGTGTCAGAAGGGTGGCCAAAGACCATCAGAAAACACAATATTTTCTGTTGGTCATGGGATTCTGTGTAAGAAGTTTGGCCCAATTCTATCATTGGTAGGGTTCGGAATGCTCTTTGATTGTAGGTGAACTATAAATCCCAGCAACTACAACTCCCAAATATCAAGGCCTATTCCACCCCCACCCCTACCAGTGTTCTCACTTGGGCATATTAAGTATTTGTGCCAAGTTTGGTCTAGATCCTTCATTGTTTGAGACCACAGTTCTCCCTGGATGTAGGTGAACTGCAACTCTAAAACCCAAGGCTAATGCCTACCAAACCCTTCCAGTATTTTCTCTTGTCATGGCAGTCCTGTATGTCAAGTTTGGATCAATTCCTTCATTGGTGGAGTTCAGAATGTTATTTGAATGTAGGTTAACTATAAATCTCAGCAACTACATCTCCTAAATGACAAAATCAATTTGTTTTGAGTGATGGTCACTCCTTGGGTTAGTCAGTGTCTTGTGGCCAAATTTGGCAGCAATTCGTCCAGAGGATTGTGAGTTATGATGTCACTCAAAACGAACAGAGCTTTTATAGATAGATAGATAGATAGATAGATAGATAGATAGATAGATAGATAGATAGATGATAGATAGATAGATAGATAGATAGATAGATGATAGATAGATAGATAGATAGATAGATAGATGATTATTGTCTTATGTTCTCTGTAATCAAGTTTCTGAAATGCTGGAGAACACATAGGTTTGCATTGGATGTCCTCCAATGTGATTTTATTATCTGCTTCCAGCAGATCATATCTATCTATATCTGTCTGTCTATCTATCTATCTATTAGGCCTGGGTAACAACGCTAAAATTTGTTTCTAAAATCGATTTGTATTTGGGGGGTTTTTTTGTTTCGATATTTAAAATAATTACAAAATTTTCCTTTAAAAAAGTTCGGTATTTACGAAATTTCGTTAATATTTACAAAACGTTTTGTAAAGATGGCGCCCTTTTTTTTCAATATATATATATATATATATATATATATATATAAAAGAT